GAGGTTCACATGCAAAATTCTTTAAAGGTGGCCAGGCTAGTTGAAACAGTTGTTATGAAGGCTTATTGGATCCTTAGGTTTATATATCAAAGCAGATTTACTGAATGCCACTAGGAATGAGGGATTTTTGATACAAGGAAAGATTAGAGAAATTGGGCTTATTGTCATTGAAGCAGTGAAGATTAAGAGGTAACCCGAATGTGGTGTTCTAAATTAGGAACAATTTTCACATGATAAAGAAGGATATCCTGTTTCCACTAACTGGTATGACAGTAACCAGGGGTCACAATTTCAAGATTGTCAGCAAGAAAGCTGGGAGCGAGATGAGGAGGAAACTCTTTAACCAGAGAGTTTTTAGAATTTGGAATGTACTGTCCAGGAGGCGAATTCCATAGAAGGTTTCAAAAGAGAGCTGCAAAAGTGTCTGAAATTGATTAATGTAGAGCGGTACAGAGATAGGGCTAGAGAATGGGACCAGCTGTGTAGCCCTTTTGGGAGCTGGTATAGACATGATAGGTCAAATGGTCTCCTTTGATACTGTAAAATTCTATGATTTAACACATCGGAGTTAAATTCAAAAGCAGGTTGAGGTTCTCTCTCATAAGTATTTCAGGGTAGTTCAGGGAACATGCCACCTCAGCAGAAGGATTTAGTTTGCAAAACTTCCAAATTAGGAGAGTTAGGTTAATAATCTCCAGATTCTTAGAACTGACAAAATTTAGGCTCTTAGATTTGTAAAAACTTCATGTTGGTATTGGAAAAGATTCATTGAATTGTCTCAAAAGTCCACAGCAAAAGAAACTGATACTAGTTAAATTGAAACTTCATGGGTTCAGAAAGGGATGTGATTTCTCTGGACTTGAGTCTCTGTAATGGCTAGCGTCAGGAAATAAATTGAAACATTTTTTGGTTGCGTGTTTTGAGACCTTTCTACATCTTTAGTAATTAGATAGCTTGGTTTGTTTGTTTTGTTTATTCATCTTTGGGTAATGAACATTTATTCTGTTGTTAAAGAAAATTGGCAGCCTCATGTCAACATATTTCAGTAACTAACTACCACATTAACTGGCTATACAAGAAAAAACATGAACTACCAAGCCAAAGTTCATTCTGGGGTCTGATTTGTCTGGTTGTGCCATCAGCAGTGATCATAACAACTAGGAAATGAATGAATAAAGAAGATTTGTGGTGTTCATAAATTAGAACATAGTGCAGCACAGGAACAGGCCTTTCAGCTCACTATGTCTGTACCAACCATGAGGCTATTCTATACTAATCCAATCTACTTACCTGCATCCCTTTATTCCCTGCTTGTTAACGTATCTGTCTAAATGCCTCTTAAATTTTGCTATCATATCTGATTCTTCCACCTGCCCTGGCCGCACATTCCAGGCATCTACTACTATCTCTGTAAAAAACCTTGCCTGGCATATCACCTTTAAACTTCTCCCCTCTCAACATAAGCCAATGCCCCTAGTATTTGACAATTCCACCCTGGGAAAAAGACACCGACTATCCACCATATCCATGTCCTTCGTAATTTTATATGCTTCTATCAGGTCACCCCACAGCCTCTGACACTCTAAGGGAAACAAAATTTAAGTATTTTGATAAAACAAATAATACAAGAAACTGCTTCCATTGTTTAGTGAGTCAGTAATTCTGAAAGCATAAAATCAACATAATCAGCAAACTAAGTTAAGAAGTTAAAAGTTGCTATTTGTACAGACGGTTGTAAAGACATGAAATGCCTTGCTGGAAATGTATTAAATACAATTCAGAAGGCCTCAGGGAAGAGAATTAGATAAATGTATGCATAATAAAAAATACAAAGTGACTACAACAAACTGGGAGACCACATTGGCAGAATCAGCTTACAATTCTATGAATCCATATAGAGCAAAATTAAAATAGAGATATAATTAGTTTTTCTAGCTATTGTTTAAGCAAGCATGGTCATAATAAAGAGTCAAAACAATGCGCAAGCATTGGTAATGGACTTCAGCAGCCCTTGCAAGACAGATTCAAGACGATTGACTTATGCCTGCCCTTAACCCTTGGAAGTCAGGCATGGGGTTGCAGAAATCATGTGCCATCTTTCCAAATGGAATGATCTCCAAATTATTCTTTTCATTAAGTTGCATATGCTCTTTAGAGTATATCTATCGTTGTGGATTGTACATTGAAATTTAAGTAGCTATTTAAGTTTTTTCCCCATTTCACTCAAATACCATTTTCCACTGCCTTGGAATTATTACAAGTTCCTATAAAGTAAGATCTATTCATCAATAAAACTTGATGATCAACCATCTCGCTTTTCTTGTTTTATCAGTTGGAATGCAAGGGTTATGAAATGAAACCTAGTCTGTGACTTTCATCTGTTTTCTTTTCTTTCCTTCAAAAATGTAATTCTACCCAGTCTGTTGCAGTGGCAACAATGACTGACTTTTATAAGGCCCCCCTTTGTACAGAGTGACTTAATCTAGATTTAATTATGAAATATCATAATAAAACTTTGTAGTAAATAAATAATGGTTAGATTAGCAGAGTATTCAATGGCAAACTGCCATTGAACAATTGGAAATATTTAACTCATCCTTCATAATTTCCTCCTGTCATTTGGTCTAATTACATATTATAAACTAATATGGAATTGATTTAACAAACTATTTAACTCTTACCTCACTGGTAATGGCCAGTGCTTTAAGGTATTCTGACTGGTTAGACTGAACCTTTTATCTAGTTCCCTGGTGTAAGAAGCAAAGTTTAGCTTTTAAAGAAGAAATCATCCGGCTAGAATGTACTGCTATAACAACTGTTACAAGCTGTGTGTACATTATAAAATATCCATATGTGGAATAACATTATAATAACTGATTCACACAAAAGCAGATTTTTTTTTCACAAAGAACACAAGAAACATCCAAACAGGAAGAGGCTATTAGATTGAAACAAAGTCTATTCCTTATCACGGAACACCTCTACTTATACAACTTCCCACCTTATCTCACTCTTGCCAGAATTCACATATCTATTTTTATGCTCTTCCTTATTATAAGTTTTTCACCCTTTGCGTGAAAAAAAACACAGCACCCCTCTCCTTATTCCCAACTTCCCCTGTATTTCCTGGTATTTGAATATTTCATTACAGTGGACAGAGTCAGAAATTTTCATGTTACATGATGCAAGCATCATAACAGTGAGAAATAGTCTTGTCCAATACAGTAATGTAAAAAGAAGTGTTATTTTTAAAGAAAGAAATCTTCTTGGATTAGGAGTTAGAGATGGGCACCTATAAACTCTTGTCAAATAAGCTTAGATTTTGGCAACCTTGTTAGCAACAAAATAAACAGCAAAATTCTTTGGACTGAAGGAACTGTTTCCCTGCTGTATGACTATGACTACGACTCAATTAACTTGAAATGAATTAATGTTATAAAATCCAGAAATGACAACTTTTACTTTTAAATTTGTTTACTGGATGTGGGCATTGCTGTCTGGGCCAGGTGTTCAAGCACTGAAAGGCTGAAGGCATTATCAATGGGCATTTAAATGGTATTGTAAAGGAGAAGTGGGCGATGGAAAAGGTAAAGCAGACTTGCAAGATGGGTTGAACAATTATGGCTTATGAGTATTATGACTTAAATAATGAATTTGGATAATGGATAAAAGAGAGAACTTGGCAAAAGGGAAGAGGAAGGTGATTGGATAGGAACAGAAACCACAATAGGAAGGATGATGAATGGGGAACACAAAGGAAAACTGTGGACAATGAAGAAAATCAGTGATCCTATGCAAACCAGCAAGTGGGTGGAGTAATCCAATGGAATCAGTGAGAATGAGCCATGATCCATTGTGTTGTAGTGTGGTGTGGAGGATTGGAGATTCGATGTGGAGGACCATGAGACAGAACTGGCGTGATGTGGAAGTGCAGTGATCCATTGGGGTGAGGTATGGAGGAGCAGAGATCCAGTGTTGATTCATGAAGATAAAACTTTACACAGTGTAGTGAGGTATGGAGGAGAAAGGATCCAATTTGGTGAGGCATAAATGAGCACTGGCCCAGCACAGTGAGATGTGGTGGAGCAGTGATCCAGTGTGGTCTGGAGCGGATGTGTAGTAATCAAGTTTGGTGAGATTTGGAGCAGCACTGGTACTGTGAAGGGAGGTGTGGAGGAGCAGTGATTCAGCGTAGAATGGCTCCAAATGTGACATGTGTAAAGTGTGGACTGCGAACCAAGGATTAAAATTGTTGAATAAAGTTGGAATGAGACTGAGGAGGGGTTTGTTGATGGAGATTGGGACCTTAACATCAAAAGACTTGAAATCATATTCAGACCAGTTTCCTGACAAGAAGCACCTTAAAATGTTATTACATTAAAAGTGTGATATAAATGGCTATTGTTGATGTTGTTGCAAAAGCATAGAAGGATATAGGCAATTACAATTAATATAAGGTAAAACCGAATGAAATATCAGAACACAGGGTGCTGAATGACCAGGTGTGCCTTTGTCATTTTAACACACATAAATGCCAGAGCTCACATTGACATTAGCCAAAAGATTTAAGGATCTCTGTACTCCTCAGAGCAGTTGTTGCAGTTTGACATGTGATTTCTGCTGCCGATTTCATGAAATAATGCAGCCATGCTAGTACAGCCAATGCTGAAGTCAGCAGTCGCATGCATTGATTGGTCAACTGTTTCTAAAGCCTACCTACTTAGGAGAATATCTCTCTTCTGACCCACTTCAAAAGTCCCTCAGATGAACAACAAATTTCATGCACTTAGAAATGGTAAAGGGATGAAGAACAGGAAGTGCCTTCTTAGTGTGTAACTTTCTGCTTTATAGTTAATTTCTATTTTTAAGATCTAATCGTTATCAAGAAACAAATACAATTCAGTAACTTGGGCTTTCAACACAATTCTTGTAAAAGTAGCTGTTTTTCCTTAATAAATTCAAACCATAAAATGTTCACAATTCAGCAGCAAGTGACTAACCTGGCTTGTTTGTGGATTGGATGGGCCACAGCCGAGTTGTACAAAGTTCTTTGCTGAATCCTGAGGGGTGAGATGTGGTGGGTATCTGATTGTTGGGTGTGAGAAGTAACTACTGGGAGCAGGAGGAAGAATGGAGGATGCTGAAAAATGTAGAGGTGAAGGAGGAGGTGGGCTTCTTGTTGAGATGACTAGAAATTGAAAAGACAAAGAATTAATAGTTTTCTATCCTTTGAAATTTTGTGATAATATTGGTCTCAACAGCTAGACTGCTCATATTTTCAGTTCATATAACTGCTGTAAGCAAACATTATCTTCTCTACATAACCCAGCAGAATATTGACCAAAAAGAGTATAAACTGATTAACACAATAATTATTTTAACCAAACGAAGTCTAGGCATCCAATCACTCTCCTTTACTAATTTACAATCACTTGCAGTGGTGATCGATCTCTGGGCAGGAAGATCTTGGTCAAGCCTTACCTGCCCCAAAGTTTTGTCGTAGGATGTCTGAACAGATTGATTAAAGTAACTTTTATTTCACAGAACTTCTCTGGTGAGGATAATTTAAAACTATTTTGGGGAAAAATAAACAAATCATCATGGATTAAATACACAAGACTGATAGAGTTGTGCCCTTAAGGCAAGATTTTTATTTGGAAACAATAATACTACACACTTTTACTAAAAATAATTATTGATATTAGATATTCTAATAAAGAAAAGTCCCAAGACAGCCAAGCTCTGAATACTGACCACTGCCAGTCCTGAGTGAATTGCGCCACTGGACTGTCCATGATCTGCACTAGTCATAGATATCAGATGGCATAATCGTTGATGAAGTGAAACTTCCCAAACAGATTAAGCAAAAATCTGGTTCTAGGATTAGAAGCTGCCATTTCCACCATCTCCAACAGGATGCCACTACCAGACACATATTACCCTCCCTTCTCTTGTCAGTATTTTGCTGAGGCAGTTCTCTCTGGGACGTCCTGGATATTTTTTTTATTCATTGACAGGATGAGGGCGTCACTATCTAGGCCAGTGTTAACTGTCTATCCCTAACTGCCCAGAGGCAATTAAGAGTCAATCACATTGCTGTGGATCTGGAGTCACAAGTAGACCAGATCAGGTAAGGATGGTAGTTTTCTTCCCTCAAGGGCATTGGATCATAAAATCCCTACAGTGTGGAAACAGGCTCTTCAGCCCAACAAGTCCACATCGACCCTCAGAGCATCCCACCCATACCCATCGCCCTACACTCCACCTAATGTACATATCCCTGAACACTACGGGCAATTTAGCATGGCCAATCCACCTAGCCTGCACATCTTTGGACTGTGGGAGGAAACCAGAGCACCTGGAGGAAACCCACGCAGACACGGGGAGAATGGGCAAACTCCACACAGACAGTTGCCCAAGGGTAGAATTGAACCCAGATCACTGTGAGGCAGCAGTGCTAACCACTGAGTGACTATGCTGCCCATTAGTAAGCAAAATGGGGTTTTCTGATAATCAACAACAGATTCATGCTCATTATTAGTCTCTAAATTCCAGAATTTTATTGAATTCAAATTCCAACATCTGCTGAGGCAGGATATGAATCCTGGTCCCCAGAACGGTACCTGGACCTCTGGATTAACAGTCCAGGATTAACTAGGCCATAGCCTCCCAAAGTAAAATCATAATAGTCCTAGAGCTGCTGTCTCATGTTGAAACAGACAGAGAAAGACAACTGGTGGTGAATTTAACCTGAGGGTCACCACACCTCAGATGAGTGGAAACATTGAGAGGGAGGGATCTTTGTGGTGACCTCAGCTAGTGTAGGGTTTGAACCCAAGGTGTTAGTGTCACTCTGCATTATAAACCAGTCATCCAGCCAATTGAGCTAACCAACCCTTACCTACTCCATGATATCTCTTCCACTCCCATTCCTCCCCACATCACCTGTGGCACCTTCTCATACAATTGCAGAAGGTGTGACACCTGCCTGTTTATCTCCAACCTATCCAAGGCTCCAGACATACCTTCCAGGTGATGCACTGATTTACTTGCACTTCACTCAATCTACTGTTGTGTAATCATTGCTCACAATGTGGTCTCCTTGACATTGGGCAGACAAAGTGCAAACTGGGTGACTGCTTTGCGGAACACCTTCATTCTGTCCACAAAAATGAGCCCGAGCTTCCATTTACCAAAACACACTGTTTTCCCTGACCAACATTCTGTCTCAAGCCTGCTACAGTGCTCCAGCAATGCTAAGCCAAGCTGGAAGCACAGCATCTCATTTTTCACTTAGGAACCTTGCAGCCTTCAGTGCTCAAAATTTTAGAACCTGAACACCTGCTCTATGTGCTTTGCTAACCTCCACACATTCCAGGCCCTGTCATGACAGCACAGTATAGCTGTGCACAGCCCTGTTCAGTACAGCTAACCTATTTCTGCCTAATTATTTTTCCCATTATCAGCTTTTCTCTCTCATTGGCATACTATTATCCATCCCTTTGCCTGACTGTCATTCTCTCTCTCCAGGCTTCATTGCCACCTATCCGCTCACTCCTTCCTCCTACTCTGTCCTCAACACATAAACCACCTTCTCCTAGCTGGTATGAGTTCTAAAGATGGGTCATTACATCAAAAGGTTAACTCTGCTTTCTGTTCACAGGTGTTGCCAGACCTACTAAGTTCTTCCAGTAATTTCTGTTGTTGAAGCAAAAATCTGTACTGATCAAAAACGCTCGACATCATCAAAACGTGTCTGAGAGAACTACTCAACAATTGCATTTTCCAATTTGTTTATATTTATATTTAATATGCAGTGCTACAATATGAGGTGAATTACCGCTGTGTCCTGGGATTCCAGGGTGATGATGTTGTGGGAAAGTGCTGAGTCTTGGTGATGAACCTTGCGGAGATGTAGGCCCACTATACATTGGTTTCTCATGTTTCTTCATTGTAGGAGATGCCATTTCTACCAAGTCAGACACATAAATATGACAACTAGTAAATACTTATGTACAGGATTATTGGACCACCTATGAAAAAAGCATTTTCTCAGTAAACCCTGCCTTATTCTCTGGAGAATCCACTATTCCCATAGCCTTGTACTGTTTATGAATGATCTCTGTTCAAGTGCAAACAAAAAGTAATAGAGGAAAAATAGATAACAACATTTTACCTGGAGATTTTTGGAAAGGCATATGCTTTATCAAACTTCAAAGTGGCACACCTCTGATCCAGGAGACCTGGGTTCTACAAATCACAATGCAAACTCAAGAAACAACATCTCATTTTCTGCTTGGGCACTTTACGGCCTCAAAAGTCTCAAACATGAATTCAATAACTTCAGAAATTGACTGTATTATGCCTGTTCTCCATTCTTCTTAAAGTCTTTCCTCCAACTAATCCCCAGAGCCTTATATTGTTTGTATCTTGTTTACATTGCTCTGAGAGATAGAGCTCGTTCTTTCCCTTTCACATCTTAGTTTACACACATTTTACAGAATTGGTGTTGGGTTCACGTTTTTTTGTCATTTATATAAATGATTTGGAAGTAAATATCAGAGGTATGGTTAATACATTTGCAGATGACACCAAAATTGGAGGTGTAGTGGACAGTGAAGAAGGTTATCTCAGAATACAATGGGACCTTGATCAGAAGGGCCAATTGGCCATGAAGTAGTAGTTGGAGTTTAATTTAGATAAATGTGAAGTGTTGCATTTTGGTAAGGCAAATCAGGGCAGGACTTATACAGTTAATGATACAGCCCTAGGGAGTGTTGCCAAACAAAAGAACCTAGGGATGCAGGTGCATAGTTCTTTGAAAGTGGAGTCACAAGTAGATAGGGTGGTGAAGAAGGTGTCTGGCACACTTGTCTTCATTAGACATGTTGTAGCTGTACATGACATTGGTTAGGCCACTTTTAAATTACTGCATTCGATTCTGGTCTTCCTGCAATGGGAAAGATGTTGTGAAACTTGAAAGGGTGCAGAAAAGATTTACAAGGATGTTACAGGGTTGGAGGTTTTAAGCAAGAGGGAGAGGCTGAACAGGCTGGGACTTTTTTCCCTGAAGTGTCAGAGGCTCAGGGATAAACTTATAGAGGTTTATAAAATCATGAGGGGCATGGATAAGGTGAATAAGGTCTTTTTCCCAGGGTAAGGGAGTCCAAAAGTAGAATATACAGGTTTAAGGTGACAGGGGAAGCATTTAACAGGGACCTGAGGGGCAACTTTTTCATGCAAAGGGTGGTATATGTACAGAAGAAGCTGCCAGAAGAAGTGGTGGAGACCGGTACAATTAGAACATTTAAAAGTCATCTGGATGGGTACACGAATAGGAAGGGTTAGAGGGATATGGGCCAAATGCTGGCAAAAGGAACTAGTTGGGTTTATTATATCTGGTCAGCAGGGATGAATTGGACTGAAGGTCTATTTCTGTGCTGTACAACTCTATGACTGTATCTCTTTTTCGCTTTCACCATCATTAACACCCCTTTTTATTTTGCATTGGGCTTTTCCACAATCTGCCCTCTTACTGCTCCTTAATCTTTGCCAAAAGTATATTAAAAATGTATTTTCCAACATCTTTCATTTCGAAAGAAGAGTCACATTGGATTTGACATGTTAACTCTGTTTCTCTCTCCACAGAAGATACCAGACCTATTCAGTTTCTCTGGTATTTTCTGTGTTTGTTTCAGATTTCCAGCATAGAATATAGAGCAGTGCAGCATAATAACAGGCTCTTCGGTCTACCATGTCTGTGCTGACCAATGATCCTATTCTAAACTAGTTTCATCTGCCAGCACATGGTCCCTATCCCTCTATTCTTTGCCTGTTCATGTGTCTGTCTAAATGTGTCTGACGTTTCAGCTTCTATTACCTCCCCTGGCAGTGCAGTCCTGGCACCTACTACCCTCTGTGTAAAACCTTGCCTCGTGCATCTGCTTTAAACTTTCCCCCTCTCACCTTAAACCTATGCCCCTTTTATTTGACCTCTCAATCCTGGGAAAAAGACTCCAACTATCCACCTTACCCATGCCGCTCATCATTTTATATACTTCTATCAGATCACCCCTCAGCGTTTGATACTGCAGCAAAAACAAGCCAATTTCATCCAACCTCTTGCCAGCAGAAGCAAGGGAAGGGGAGATATCCAGCTTCCAGCATCTCGGATAACTACATCCGCAGGAAGTACATTCAACTGCAGCTTCTTACAGACCACATGGATAGTTGGAGCGGCAACTGGATCTACTTAAGAGCATGAGGGTGGCGGAAAGTGTAATAGGCAGTAGTTTTAGAGATGTGGGTGACACCCAAGGTGCAGGCAGATAGATGGGTGACCACTAGAAGGGGCAGGCAGACAGTGCAGGAATCCCCTGTGGTTGTCCTCCTCTCTAACAATGATCATAATTCAGTAAGCTTTAAGGTACTGATGGATAAAGATAAGTGGCGGTGTCAGGTGAAGGTGCTAAATCGGGAGTAGGCTAATGAGGCAAATCAACATCTGGTATGTGGGAGGCTTTCAAGTGTAAGTTGATAGGAACTCAGGACCAACACATTCCTGAAAAGATGAAGGATAAGTATGGCAACTTTAGGGAACCTTGGATAACAAGAGATATTGTGAGCCTAGTGAAAAAGGGAAAGGAAGCATTTGTCAAGGCTAGAACGCTGGGAAAACACAAAGCAAGGGTGGAATACAAGGAAAGTCGAAAGAAATGGGCGAGGTATTAAATGAATACTTTGCATCAGTATTCACCATAGAGAAGGACTTGGTGGATGATGAGTCTGGGGAAGGGTGTGTGGCTAGTTTGGGTCATGTTGAGATCAAAAGGGAGGAGGTATTGGGGTCTTGAAAAACATTAAGGTAGGCAAGTCCCCAGGGTCTGATGGGATATACCCCAGAATACTGAGAGAGGCAAGGGAGGAAATTGCTGGGGCCTTGAGAGAAGTCTTTGTATCCTCACTGGCTACAGAAGAGGTCCCAGAGGATTGGAGAATAGCCAATGTTGTTCTTTTCTTTTAGAAGTGTGGCAGAGATAATCCAGGTAATTATAGGCCGGTGAGCCTTACGTCAGCGGTAGGGAAATTATTAGAGAGGATTCTCCGAGACAGGATTTACTTCTACTTGGAAATAAGTGGGTGTATAAGGGAGAGGCAATATGGTTTTGTGAAGGGGAGGTCATGTCTCACTAATTTGATTGAGTTTTTTGAGGAAGTGACGAAGATAATCGATGAGAGTAGGGCAGTGGATGTGGTCTGCATGGACTTCAATAAGGCCTTTGACAAGGTGCCTCATGGCAGACTGATAACAGAAGGTAAAGTTGCATGGGGTCAGAGGTGAGCTTACAAGATGGATAAAAATACTGGCTCAGTCATAGAAGACAGAGGTTAGCAGTGGAAGGGTGCGTTTCTGAATGGAGGGCTGTGACTAGTGGCATTCCTCAAGGATTAGTGTTGGGACATTTGCTATTTGTAATATATATAAATGATTTGGAGGAAAATGTAACTGGTTTGATTAGTAAATTTGCTGATGACACAAAGGTTGGTGGAATTGCAGATAGCGATGAGGACTGTCAAAGGATACAGCAGGATATAGCCCAGGTGACCTGGGCAGAGACATGGCGATGGAGCTTAATCCGGAACAATGTGAGTTAATGCATTTTGGAAGGCCTAATCCAGATGGAAAATATACAGTAAATGACAAAACCCTTAAGAGTACTGGTAGGCAGAGGGATCTGGGTGCACAGGTACACAGGTCACTGAAAGTGGCAACACAGGTGGAGAAGGTAGTCAACAAGGCATATGGCATGCTTGCCTTCATCGGCTGGGGCACTGAGTTTAAAAATTGGCATGTAATTTGCAGCTTTATAAAACCTTAGTTAGGCTGCATTTGGAATATTGTGTTCAATTCTGGTCACCACACTACCAGAAGGATGTGGTAGCTTTGGCGAGGGCACAGAAAAGATTTACCAGGATGTTGCCTGGTATGGAGGGCATTAGCTATGAAGAGAGGTTGGAGAAATTTGGGTTGTTCTCACTGGAATGACAGAGGTTGAGGACTGATAGAGATCTACAAGATTATGAAGGGTGCGGACAGAGTGGACAGTCAGAAGCTCTTTCCCAGGGTGGAAGAGTCAGTTACTAGGGGGCATAGGTTTAAGGTGCGAGGGGCAAGGTTTAAAGATGATGTACAAGGCAGGTTTTTTACATAGAGGGCAGTGGGTGCCTGGAACTTTCTGTCGGGGGAGGTAGTGGAAGCAGATACGATAGTGGCTTTTAAAGGGTGTCTTGACAAATACATGAATAGGATGGGAATAGAGGGATACGGTGTCTGGAAGCGTAGGGGGTTTTAGTTGTGATGGGCAGCATGTCGGTCCACGCTTGGAGGGCCGAACGGCCTGTTCCTGTGCTGTAATTTTCTTTGTTCTTTGTCCTCTCTTTGTAGCTAATACACTTCAATCCAGGCACCATCCTGGTAAACCTCTTCTGCACCCTTTTCCAAGCCTCCACACCTTTCCTATAGTGTGGTGAACTGCGTATAGTACTCTAAATGTGGCCTGAATAAATTTCTTATACAGTTACAACATGGTTTGCCAACTTTCATATTCAATGCCCTAACGGATGAAGGCAAGCATGCTGTATATCTTCTTTACCCCCTTATCTGCTTATGTTGCCACTTTCAGGGACCTATGGACTTGCACCCCAAGATCCCTCTGGATATCAATGCTCCAAAGAGTCTGGCCTTTTGCAATGTACATTTTTCTTGCATATGACCTCTCAAAACATATTACCTCACACTTGTCCAGATAAAACTCTATCTGCCATTTCTCTGTGCTGATCTACATGCTGCTGCATCCTTTGGTATCTTTTCTCACTATCTACAACTCCACCAATTTTCCCATCATCTGCAAACTTATTAATCAGACCACCAACATTTTCATCTAAATCATTTATATATATTGCAAACAA